CTGAAAGAAACCATAACCTGAGAAAGTTAGTCTTGCAAAAAATTATGGAAATGTAGTCCGGGACAGGCTTGGAAAAAACCCAAAAAGTCTTCAAAATACTCATCATTCAGATGTAGCTTATGTAAATTTTAGGACTCCTACTGGTTAAGGGCAAATTAAGAATAAACACGTTTTGCATTTCTGATACAGGCAGGGTGCTTCTTGCTGTGTATTTTCATCTTAATGCTTTCTGCTGTTGAATTGAAAAAAACCAAACTAACCCCAAATGAATATTAACCTCTCAATGAAGGAAACCTCTCCCAAGACCCACTCAAGAGTCAAGAACTAACCTAGGGTTAGAAAAGAGGATTTACAAGTTTTGCAGCCTTTGTTTTGGCCATCACATCACACCACACCACCCTCTTTGGACCCTCTTACCTTGACGCACTCTGCCGCAGTCGACAAGCTCTCTTTACTATCAAATACTTGCTTACTGAAGGCATCTACAAAAAAGAAAGGGCGGCCCCAAACAGCGAAGGCGGAGTAGCAGCCGTTGTTACCAGCGAAGTCTGTCTCAAACTCTCTTGCCGTCTCTAGAAGGCTGGTGAAGAAGACATGGCAGAGCTTGTGGATGTAGAGCAGCGTGGCGCCCTCGATGCGCAGCTGTCGGATGGCTGTCTGCACCGCGGCCGCCCGGTTCTTCAGGAAGAGCTCGCATGCCTTGGTGGACTGGCCCAAGCGAATGAGCTGGGACACGGCTCGGCGGGTGGCCCGTGGCCCTCCTCGCAGCGAGCGGTCTGGAGACAGCTCAAACACCAGCACGTCCGTAAGCTGCCGGACCCGCTCATCCACCTTGGCCCGCAGCTCCTTCACAGGCTGGCTGACGGGGTTGTATCATTGAGTTTATCCAAGAGTTCCACCGCCCCCTCGAAGTCCCGCTGAGCAATGCAGACGTCCAAGTCCTCTGGCAGCTCCTGGATCCACTCAAGGGAGAGGTCGACCACCTCCTCCTCAGCAGAGGGCTCTTCCTCCTCCTCCTCATCGTCCTCCTCGAAGGGATTGGTGGACTCAGGGGGTGTCGGAGCAGGCCGGGGCAGGGCCTCCTGCTCCAGGCGTCGCTTCTCACTGAGGGCCCGGTTGCGCTTGGTCTCCTCCAGCACCTCCAGCCACTCCTTCTTGATCTTGGCGTTCTCGG